CTCATGATGAACCAAGAAAGAAAAGAAGACTGGCAGAATAAACAATCAAATCATTATTAATCATCATCATCATCATCCAATTCATCTTCTAAATCGGAAGGAGAATTTCATCATTGGAGAAGGGTTTTTCTTTTGCGAATTGCTCAAATAGTTCCTGCCAATAACAAGAGTAAACCAAGAAAGGATAACCAAGCGGCAGGGTTATTAGTTCTTCAAAAGCCTTCTTTGGAAGTAGGTTGGCTTTCAGTAGCTTTTTGTTTAGCATAACTATGGTTAATTCCTGCGAGTTTTTTGAAATAGTATTTTTTAGTTCCTGCTTCAGTTGGACTAGTTCCATCTCCATAAATGTTCCAATCTAAACTTTTAGTTTTATCTGCTGGATTCCGATCAGCTTTCATCTCAGTTTCAATTTCTTTTTTCTTAACACTATCATGTTTAATGTGATAAGTTGTGGAGAAAGTAATGACATGTTGAGGAGGTAAAGTAAAGAAATAATCTGTTTTTTGGTAATCATCTGCAGTGTCAGCAGGGAAAATTGGCACTCCTTGCTTATCTTTCAAATATTCCTTCAGTTCATTGAAAAAAGTAGTTTTATCTTCTAAATTGAGCAAAATGTCAGCAATCTTTTTTAGTTCTAATTCATCTTTTTTAAAGAGTTTTTTATCCCCATAATTTTTTCATTCTTGAACTAAAGAAGCAGTAATATCCGCATCAATCTTGAAAACTGAACGAAGATTTTCACTTCTTAATTCTGGATTAGTTAAGTAATTAGTAATCGCCAATAATTCTGCTTCTTCTTCTGGACTAAGACCAATGGTTTGTTGAGCATTATCTAACTCGCTTTTTAGTAAATTAAAATAAATTGTAATGCTTTTTGAGGTTAGATTTCTTCCTTCTTTTTTTTCTCAATTATTTAGTCTTTCTTGAAAACTAGCACCTAAACCTCATCAAGTGCTATAATTAGGAAGTTTAGCATTTCGAATAGCCTCTAACTGTTCTACTTTAGTGAGATATCCTTTTTCAGTAGTTGTAAGGAGTGTTTCTAGTTTGCCCTCCTTTTCTAAATCAGTTAAGAAGTAAATCAAAGTTCTAATTGCAATCGTTTCTTGATAAGTGATAATATTTTCATCACTCGGATTAGTTAATTTATCTCCTAAATTTTTAAGTTGAGTTCGTAAGTGATTAATTTGATTAGTTTCAAAATCCTTAATTTGATTTTGGATTTGGATCAGTTTTTGTTTTTTATCAGCTTTTTGAAGACTAATTTTAGTTAATTCACTCCTTTTTTTTCCTAATTCCGCATGAATACTTTCTAGACCTACTCGTTTATCGGCCGTAATAGTTTTTCATTCATTTCACATGTCTATTGCTTCATCAGAAACTTTATCTTCTTCTTTTATTTCATCAGGACATAGTCATTTTACAAGGTCACTAGAAGAAACAAAATCAGATTTTCTAGCTTCTAGTTGTTGGAAACTTAGAACTTTGGCATCATTTCTAAACTTTGCAAAAGTATTTCTTATAACTTTAAGAGATAATTTTCCAGTGATATTTTTTCATTCTGCTTCAAATGCATCTATGTTAATCAAAGAATTTCCGCTAGTATCTTTCAAATTTTTAAGGAAATCGCCAACATATTCTTGATAATTAGCCCTGTGAAGTAAATTAGTAAAACGCATCGATCCTCCCCTTCTTCAAATTTCATCACCCATTTTCTTTTCATAAACAGTTATTTCCCGAATCTTTTCATAATTAATACCATCTTTACTTAACACTTCACTATAAGCATTAAAGTCAATAGCCTCATCATTATTATAAACTTGTCAAAAGAACTCGGGGATTTGACCATTCGCCCAAGTTAAATGTTTCTCTTCAAAAGGGAAAGGAACGTGAAGTGTACTTGCACTTCCACTCTCCAAAACATAATCCTTTGTCTTAATGATTACATCCGCTCCCCGTCAATAAAGAGTGTAAGGTTTATCTAAACCTACATTAGGTTTATTAAACCGTAAACAACTGTTCTTTCCTACTTTCAAAAAAGGGCTGTTTTGATAATCACTATCTTTTTTTGGAAATAGGAAATTCATAATCCGAAAGATGTCACTGATAAAGAATCTTGTTTTTTTTATTCTTTCACTTCCTTCATCTCTAACTGATGAAAAAACAATTTGACCCATTTGATTCTGCGCACCACCACTGCTAAATTTACCCTCTCAGTCTACAATTCGATTAAAAGCATTCTTAAACTTAGCCTTGTCCGAATCATTTCAAGAACAATCAGAAGAATCAATATATGCAAAAAGTTTATCTTTGTCTAGGTCTTTAAGAAGAGTAAAAATTTGTCCTGGTAAATCATTAGTTAAATAAATCGGATGAGTATAAGGTTTACCATTACCATTATAGCCAGTTTCGATCACTGAACCATAGGAAGTAGCTGAAGCTGCTATATCAGATCTACAAAGTATTTTTGCACCTTCTTTATTAGTCTCAACAATATTATCTAAAAATTTTCTCCCGCCTTTTCCAGGTGCTTTTAAGATCATCTATCAATTTAGTGACAAGGATATCAATCTTATTTTCTAAATCAGTTTGTTCTTGAAGAACTTGAGGATTATATTTTTTTTCTAACTCAGTAATCTCTTTTGCAACTTTTTCTTCTTCTTCTGATACTTTTGCAAAAGTGATTAATGCTTCCTTTAATTTTAAATCCAAAGTTTTATTGTTTTTTCTAAATAAGACAGTTTGGTATTCTTTTACCATTTTATCAACTCTTCTTTCCTCATTTTCATCCTTTTCATTAACTAATTGGTAAGCAATGGAATTATTTCTTCTTTGCTCCATTAAAGCAACAAGTAAAGCATTACCATTAGTAGACAATCCTGTTTCAGAAGTTTTTTCAGTAACTAAATTAGCCTCTGCTTTTTTACAATTATTTAATAATTCAGCGGTATCTTGGAGAAGAGAAACATCCAAAATACCATTAGGAGTTAAAAGAGAACTATTAAAGATTTCTTTTTCTGGTTGAGTGAGTTCACCACCATGATAGTCAGGATATTCCTTTGCTTTTTTGATTGTATTGATATCATTTTTATTGAATGTCATGATTTTACTTCCTATATTATATTTTAATATTAATATCATTAAAAGATTAAATATAAAGAATTTAATAAAAACTAATAAAGTAATAAAATTTGCAGTTGACTGAAATATTTTTATTCATTATCAGTATAGATTGGTTTGGGACAAGTGATATCTTTGTATTCATCTTTCACAAATGGGCGAATATTATGATAAAGGTATTCTTGTCTTTTGTAATC